TACCCCAACCCTGACATCAGTCCCATTCTACAACAGTGGCACCATGCAGTATTTGTCCTTTTGTGACTTGAGATATTTCACTCAGCATACTATCTTCCAGGGTCACCCATTTTGAATAATATTGCATGAGTTCCTTGTTTTTCAATGCAGCGTAATATTCCATTGTGTGAATATACCACAGCTTCTCTATCTATTCATTTGTTGATGGGCACCTGGGTTGTTTCTAACTCCTTGCTATTGTGAACAAAGCTGTGATAAACATGGGTGTGCATATATATGTTTAGATGTCGGTTATGGTCTCTTTAGAGTATATTCCCAGTAGTTGAATTGCTGGGTCAAATGGTATCTCTATTTGCAACTTTTTGAGAAAGTGCCACACCACTTTTCACAGTGGTTGCAACACTTTACACTTCCACCAACAGTGAATAAGGGTTCCAGTTTCTCCACAACCTCACCAGCATTTGTTCCTTGCTGTTCTGTTAAATTTTGCTATAATGTATGCCACTGTTGTAGAATGGGACTGTCCTTGGGGTTGGGGAGAGACTGAGTAAGATGGGTTCAATAATGTATACTGCACTGAAACAGAGGAGGGAGAGAACCGTCTAAAAGAGAGATGTAACTGGGCATTTCTGTCATCACAGGAGACTAGAGCGAGGGCTGCATGGTGGAGGGGACCTGGGGGAGTGTTTGTAAAACAATGAAAGAATCTTTTCTTTTACTTTTCCATAATTTTTGGACTCATGTACTTATAACTTGTTAGTCAAATTTGTGTCTTCTAGGTTGCAACACCCCCATGATACATCTTGAAGGATATGTACATGTACAGCCAAGCACAATCAGTAAGAGTGCATCTGAATTCCAAAATCAATCTCCATAATAGTCTATGTGTTTCCTACTGCCAAAGGGGCCCTTTAGAGTAGTGAGAGAAGATCTTCACCCTGAAACCCACAGCGTCCCTTTTCAGCAGGAAGTAGCTAAGAGAATACGCCGTCCCCTTTTCCTTATGACTCAGGGTGAAGTCTCTCTCAGGGAGGAGTGATAGGGAATGGCAAAGGATACACTGACAAAGAAGATTAATCAGAACTGGCTTTGACAAGCACTGTGGCATTTGGACAAGAACAAACTGGGAGGAGGGTAGAGAGAATAGTGCAACAATGAATGAGTGGAAGCCCAAAATCTCTGTAAATGTTTATGAAAATTAATAAAATATAATTATAGAAAAAAAAATTTTGCTATAATGTCTGGGGTGTAATGATATCTCATAGTTGTTTTGACACTGTAGGTCTTTTAAGAAAATCAGTTAAATCTTGAATAAAATCCTGGCCAACAGAATCCAAGAACACATAAAAAAAATAATTCACCATGATCAAGTGGGATTCATAACAAGTATGCGAGGATGGTTCAATATAAGAAAAATAATCAGTATAATTCATCACATTAACAAAGCAAAGAAGAAGAACCACAAGATCCTCTCAATTGATGCAGAAAAGGCTTTTGACAAAATCCAACACCCTTTCCTGATTAAAACACTCAACAAAACAGGACTAGAGGGGAATTTTCTCAACATAATAAAAAGTATATATGCAAAACCAAGAGTCAATATCATCCTCAATGGAGAGGGATTAAAGGCATTTCCATTGAGAACAGGAATTAGACAAGGTTGCCCACTATCACTTCTCCTATTCAATACTGTATTGGAAGTCTTAGCAATAGCAATAAGACAAGAGAAGGAAATAAGAGGTATCCAAATTGGCAGAGAGGAGGTAAAATTATCTCTATATGAAGATGATACAATATTATACTTAGAAAACCCTAAAGACTCAGCAAGAAAACAACTGGACATAGTTGACCAATTCAGCAGGGTACAAGATCAACATACAAAAATAAATTGGATTTCTCTACAGTGACAAAGAGAATACAGAGCTAAGAAAAACAATACCCATCACAATAGCTAATCACAAGATTAAATACTTGGAAATAAATCTAACTAGAAACACAAAGGACCTATTCAAAGAAAATTACAAAACATTGCTAGAAGAAACAAAAAGAAATCTGGAGAAATGAAGAATATACCTTCCTCCTGGATAGGAAGACTCAATATTGTGAAAATATCAATTCTATCAAAGGCAATCTACACATTCAATGCAATCTCAATATAAATACCAATTCCATTCTTCAACGAGATGGAAAAGGCAATCTCCAATTTCATCTGGCATGGAAAGAGACCCCAAATAAGCAAAGCACTCCTTAAAAATAAAAACAAGGTAGGAGGCATTTCACTCCCCAATTTCAAATACTACTACACTATCATGGTGGTCAAGACAGCGTGGTACTGGTACAATGACAGACACATAGATTAATGGAATAGAATTGAGAACCCAGAGATCAGCCCATCTATCTACGGTCAACTGATTTTTGACAAGGAGATGAAATCAGTTAAGTGGGAAAACAACATTTTCAACAAATGGGGTTGGCAAAAATGGAAAACTTATCTGCAGAAAACTCAAGCAAGATCTACACTTCACACCAAACACAAAAACCATCTCAAAATGGATCAAGAACCTTGGAGTAAAACAAAGGACTATAAACTTCACCAGAGAAAAGCTTGGAAGAGCTAAGAAGCACTAAGAACTTAGAAGCCCTTTAGCCACAACATGAAAAGTCTTCCAAGCATCCTGAAAAACCTACAACCAGGAGAGGATAAAACAGATGAATGGGACCTTCTAAGAATAAAATACCTATGTACATAAAATAACTTCCCTAAAAGGGTTAAAAGGAAAGCCACAAACTGGAAAAGATTATTTGGTAATGACATGTCTGATAAGGGTCTTATATCTAGAATTTCTAGAATATTCGAGCACCACAACACAGTAAAGGTAAACAACCTAACTGAAAAATGGGCACAGGATATGAACAGACACTTCTCCAAAGAAGACATTCAGATGGTGAACAAACACATAAAGAAGTGTTCAAAATCCCTAGCTCTAAGAGAGATGCAAATCAAAACAACTATGAGATGATATTTCACTCCAGTAAGAATAGCAAAATTCAAAAGAACAGCAAACAACAAAAGCTGGCAAGGTTGTGGAGAAACTGGGATGTGAATGTAAAATGGTGCAACCACTATGAAAGGCTGTATGATGCTTTCTCAAAATGTTGCAAACAGAAGTACCATTTGACCCAGCAATTCCACTATTGGAACCAGAACTGCCACCCAAGCAGATATATGCACACCCATGTTTATTGCTGCATTGTTCAAAATAGCAAAGAATTGGAAACAACTCAAATGCCCATCAACAAACGAATGGATAGAGAAGCTGTGGTATATTCACACAATGGAATACTACGTTGCCTTGAAAAGCAAGGAACTCATAAAATATTATACAACATGGGTAACCCTGAAGCACATTATGCTGAGTGAAATATCTTTTCACAAGAGAACAAATATTGTATAGTACTACTGTTATAAAACAGGACTGACATCGGGATTGGAGGGAAACTAAGAAAAGAGGGGATTAAAAAATGTCCACTTCATTGAAACAGATAAGGGAGAGAAATGCTTAAAAGGAGTATATGATTAGGTATTATTTTAATGATAAACAGTCCAGAATGAGAGCTGCATAGTAAAGTGGACTGGGGGCGGGGGAAGGAATTGTACAACAATGAAAGTATGTCTTTTTTCCAAAGAGAAAAGCGAACTGGGGGGAGGGGTGGGCAGGGAGCAAAATGTACAATAATGAATGAATGGAAACCCATGTTCTCTATAAACTTTCATTAAAATCTCAATTAAAAAAAAGGGAAATCAGCTAAGGTAGCAATTGCCATACTTCACCAATGTTAACTGAAAAATGTGTCTGAATACATTCTGTGACAATTTTAAATCTGCATCATCATCCATTACCAATATGTAGGCCATGTGCATTTTACACAGACAATAACCATATGTAGCCAAGTAAATAGAGCCTAGATCTTGCTCAATCTAGTTTAGCTTTACACTTGAAGTAATCAGGGATATTACCAACTGGACCATCAATATCTTCTCTGGTTTCTTCCAATTTATCATTCAAGATCATAAACTAATTCCTTAGAAAGCTGGGGAGAGTTACACCAGACAGCTTAAAATGCATTAAATGTTCAGACACTTTGGATCCACAGCAGTTATCAATTAAGATTTATTGTCCTTTAAGAGGAATACTGACCACATAATTGATTTTCTGTCAAGTCTACTGCTCTTGACATTAAAATCAATGGTAGTCAATATCTACTTAATATTTACTATCCAAGCCCCAACTATTCCAAGAAAGAATGTCAAACATCAATGTCTACAACTAGTAATTATGGACTTGGAAAACAGTCCATGAAAGCACATTGTTCAGGTGGCCAGAAAGCAGCACCTAGGTCTGATTTACCTTGTTAATCAAGTCAGTGGGCTCACATTGCTAATAGTCTGAAGGCTGCCACACAGAAAATACCTCCTAATCTCTCTATTACATGGCTTATGTGTTATTCCTGAACCACAAATGAAAGGCAGTAAAAACAAATAACTCTTCCAAAGTAGGACAACAGGGGGCAGGGGAGAGTTCACTGGAGGGATAAGCCAAGAAGTGATGACAGCTTTAAAAGAAGCGGGCTGATGACTCAGGAGGATGAATCCTTTCTTGGCTTAGGACCTTTGAGCTTTTCATCTGTTTAATGAATGGAGCAGACTGGACTATGTTACCATTCTAATGCCATTCAGCAGAATCTCACATGCGTCTCAAGCCAGTTTTGGTTTCACTTCACTTTATTAAAGTTTTTCAACAAGAAGTGGCTTCAACTACTAATAGCTGAGAAAGAGAAATTTTCCGTGAAGTTCTAATTGCCCAAACTCATCTAGCAAATATATAGACAGCCACTAGCCAATGGACATTTCAAGAAAGCAAGATGGACCAGAATGTTAAACTAAAACTTAGCTTTCAGCTCCTTTATTTCCAATCTCAAATCAAGGATTTAAAAATTACCAGCAACTCAGATGTTCCTAACACATCCAGTGTCAGGGACTGCATCCTGGAGTAGTGGACTCCCAGCTCTCGATGGATCCCGGAACACTCGATGCAGGTCAGGATGCCCAGATTGGTGGAAAGCCAGGTAGGATCTGCCAGAGAGAACAGGGTATGTATGAGCTGGAAGACAGCAGAGGATCTGAGGTCAAAACATTTTCTAAATAGTTACACAGCACGGAGTTCTCCAGCATTTGTTGATTCCCAATTGGAACATTCATTCACGCATAATTTCCACCAAAGTACAAACAGTTCATTTAGCTGTGCCTATCTAGTTTTCTCTTCCTTCCCTATCCTTGCACCATTCCATCCTTCAACTCATGTATTAACCATTACTAAATGCCAGGTGCGTCTTATTCAGGCCATTGTCTTTCTGATCACTTGTTATGCATCTGAGAGCTGGAAAACAAGTAAGGATGACAGAAAAAGAACTGATGTCTTTGAGCTGTGGTTTTGGAGGAGAGCACTGAACATCCTATGGACGACCACGAAAACAAACAGATACATCTTGGAGAGGGTGCAGCTGGAGTGTTCTTTTGAGGCAAAAGTGATGAGGTTTCACCTCACTTACTTTGGGCATGCTGTTAGGAGGTGCTACTCCTTGGAGAGAGACATGATGCTTGGAAGGGTGGAGGGTTGGCAAAGGAAAGGAAGAACCTCAACCAGGTGGACTGACACAGTGAATGCTGCAATAGGCTCTAATGTGTCAGGAAGTGTAAGGGTGACACAGGATAGGACAGGGTTCAGATCTGTTGTTTATAGGGTAGCTATGAATCATATTCAACTCAACGGCACCTAACAATAATAAGTGTCAGAGGAGTATAAAGAAGACAAAGCCCAGGGGCTCTAATGGCTATAAGTTCTTCAGGGACTGGTCCTGAAGACAGACCACATCCATCAGTGAACTGGGTCACACCAGCAAAGTGGTAGAAGAAGAAAAGATCCATCAAAATCAAGCAATAGAAGGTAAATAGATGCAATACATATGTACTTATTTTCAAAAAGGTGCTTATAGCAATAATGGAGGTAATTAACCAGCTAAGAGATATTTTGTGTTAAGACTTTAGTAGTAGCAACAACAGTTTACTTGGATTCAGAAAATATAGAAGCACTTTACCTTAGTATCTCCTTTGACCCTGATAGGAAATGAACAGGACAGTAATTTTGATCTCAACTATACATGTTTAGTATCTTCACAATGATAAAAAAGGTTACGGGATCTCACGGTTGAAAGTGAGGGGCAGAGTTAAAACTGTTGCGTTAAATTCATTTGATTTCAGCCCAGGCGCTCAATACTTTCCTAGGTTTCTTCTCCCTCTATAACTACTTGTGCATTGAAGTAACTTCACTGCCTAGCATGGCATCTGGCACAGCAATAGGAATCCACCAGAAACTCTGAGGGAGGAAGATGGGAAGTGTCCCCAGTTTAAATCTATAGTCTCAGACCCCCAGTTGAGGGTCACTGTGGGTCAGAATAGACTCGATGGCAGTAAATGAGTTGGTAGATTTGTCCAATGCAATATGTTGTTTATTTCTTGACTGTGACTTCCAGCGCTGTTGACTGTGGATTCAGGTAAAATGAAGTCACAGACATCAACCTTTTCTCCATTTACTACGAAGTTGCTTATTAAATTAACAACAAACATAGCTTTGTTTCCTATGTTGTTATTATGTACCATTGAGTTAGAACTGACCCATAGCTGACCCTCCAGTGGGTTTTCAGAGGCAGTGAAATTCATGAGAGGACATTTCCCATCTTTCTTTCGTGGAGCAGTTGGGGGATTCAAACTGCATGCTTTAGTACTGAACTATCCTTATCTTCTCTTAAGGAAGAGTATCATACCCTACCTCATTTCCTACCCAAAAGGTATTTTTCTAATGGCTCTAAGACTCCACAAGAGCTCATCTAGCTGAATGTTCCAAATATAGCCTTCAAGGAAAAAGGAAATGCATGGCACTTATTAATTGCCAATGATTAACTTCTGTTGTTTTATGTTTTAGGAATATTGTTATAATACTGGGAGAATTAAAAAGTAATTGACCATCTTAGTTATGTCACAATCTTCCTCATTTTACAAATGCTCAGAAAAATGTAATACATAGAATCTCCCAACACTAGACCTAATTAGCTGCATATATAAGTTCTTAAACTTTTAAACAGTTGTGAAGATTCACAATGATATTTTTACTTAAAAAAGAAAAAAATTAAAGTTCCTAATCTGTTTCAGCAGAGAACAATAATAAACATTTCATTTCACAGAATGTGACAATTACAAAGAATCTGGGGAACAACCAAAGTCCCAAGTTCTTCACTTCACATAAAAGGAAAACTACTAAAAGCAACTAATAAAAAGTAAGGGAGCAGGGAGCTCTGGTGGCCTAGTGGCAAGAAGCTGCTTTGCAATCCTGAAGGCGCTCGGTTCGAATCCACCAGATGCTCTGCTGGAGAAGAAGTGGCAATATCTTCCTATGACAGTTAGAGCGAACTCGATGATACACACACACACACACACACACACATATATGCACACACATACATATATACACACACACACACACACACACACATATGTAAGGCAGCTCTGGTGGCTTAGTGGTAAGGAATTACACTTGGAACCCACAGGTATGCAGTTTGAATCCACTAGCTGCTCTATAAGAGAATGACAGGCAGTCTCCCATGCAATTTACAGCCTCTGAAAACCCACTGGACGGTCAGGTACCAGTTGGATCTGACTTGACGTTACATGATGACAACAACAGTAAAATTAAGTAACTCTTCTATGGTCACAAAGCTTGGCTGTGTTTTAAAAGTTAAAGAAATCTGAAGAAGTAATACAAAAAAAGAACAGAGTAGGCTCAGGGGAAAAAACCCTCCACACACAGCCAGCCACTCAGCCAATAAAATTATTCTATAACCTTGATTTTACCTTCACTGTGCCCTTCAGTTTTCATTTCTCAAAAAAAGTCTAAATCTTTAGAGTCACATTAGGTCATCTTCCGTGTGTCCTATTCTGAGGGCCTGGCAGGCAAAAACCTTCCCATCCCATTTCCCCCCGAGCAGTCTACACACAGTTCATTAAGCATTTGTGTAATGGGATGGACTCAGGCTGAGCTGCACTTAATTTTGTGTTTGAATTGAAAGTGAAAATCAATGAATGAATTCTGTGAATTGGAATGGGATTTGAAAATCCTAGCGCCTGAGCTGCCCCCGGGTCACCTGGCGCCCCACAGTCACAGCGCTGCCCCCAGGTCACCTGGCGCCCCACAGTCACAGCACACATCATTGCCCGTCATCCGCTGCACTTCAGAGATGATCTCTTTTGTCAGTTCCTGGACGATGTTATTTTCTCCAGTGTTGTCATCTCCTTTAAATGCATTGTTTAAAGCTTCTTCTTTGCTGTTTTGCAGCACAGACATCCATCTAGAAAAACAGGGGCAAAATGGTTTTAAATGCCAAGAACAAGTGCTAAGTCCCTGTCTAGAGTCCCACCTCCAAATGACTTACATCTGACATTCCTGCTCATCTTCTGCTTGGAAGTGGTACGTTCTGTCATCTGCATGACAAGAGGAATCTTGTCAATTGTAAACTCAGACACTAATCCATATACAATTCCAAAGAAAGTGCTTTATAATTAACCTCAGGCATAACCTTAGCCCTGTGCTAGAAAATAAACAATTTGTACAAAATCAAACTCTCATGCTCTTCAAATGCCTACCTTTGCCTAGTAAGTGTGGTTTTGTAATGTAAATGAATAGAGCCATCCTATTCCACTATTCAAGTATAAGAAGATGCAGCTTCCAAAAGGGAAACTATTCTGAAAACCATCCCTAGCCTTTCAAAAGCTTTATTTTCTTTTCTTAAGTTACTGCAGAGTTGTAACAAAAAAGGAAATTGTTCCAACTCTTTGAATAAGAAAAGTAACTATTTTAGAAGTTTTCTGGCCTTCTTATTAAAAAGATCATTATAAGGAGTTCTAAGAATTATATGTGATTAGAGTCCTATGTTACAGATAAAACTAAAGCAATGGTATAATGTTAAATAATGCTGGAATAGAAAATGTTACATTCATATACAGCTGGTGTCAGCCATGTTTTACACGTGTCAGCCAGAATGCTGAGCCCTGTGTCTGGGCAAGTAGGAGGGAGCAAAAAACTACTGTTTTTATAAATTTTCTCTAAGTTTAAAATCAGTTCAAAATAAAAAGTCAGGAGGAAAAAGAGAAGACATCAACTAACAATATCTATTTTTAGGAATGTACAAGAAGTATGTGTGCCCCTGAAAATAAGCTAACACGTCCTCCTCCAATAGTTTTTATACTCCTGAAAGCATTTTGATTGTTAGAACAATTCCTGGTGAGATGCCTGGAAAGCTTAGTCCAAAGGGGTTAAACGACAAAAACAAATGTAGTCAGTGCTAGAAAATTCAGCTCTTCTCACTTCTGGTCTGGTGCTTTTTCTATACACTACTTAAAAAAAAAATAACACCAGCGGAACAGTACTACATCCTCTCTATCCTTACTTTCTGTTACTTAAGAGAGAAATAGAGTATAAAAAAATTATTTCAAGTTGAAAAGGATAATGTTATGATCCACATTTTAGCACTTGTGCAAACTCAACCATTCAAAGAAATTTAGCCTTAGGTTTAAGAAAAAGGATTAAAGTCACTTCCTTCTGCCCCTCGGCACAGCCTGTCTCATCTCATCTGGGGGAGGGCCTGGGAAGCAGCAGCTACGTCTTCCAAGTCCCACTCACATGCTTTGGGTGCCCGGCCTGGAAAGGTTTGCTAAGTGGATTACAGAGTACTTATGAAGATGGCAGGTAGTGCCAGAGGCCAGTTCTAACACTGAACTCCTACTTCACGGTCAAGCCAGGCACAATTCAAGGAGACAAAGGAGAGCAAGCATGTCCTTAGGCTAGTTTTACATTCCAGTGTGAAAACTGCAGAAGCAACAGACAGACCTCTGTGAAAACTTCCTACTAAGAACCTCATCCACTACAGACTCTCAAGATATCTATAAATAAAAGAAGTTCCAGCCAGCTTTGACCATGAAGGAAAGTGAAAACAAGAGGAGAGAGTGGAGATGATCAGGGCCAGTCATTAAGGAGGCATGCTGAGGAAGAGTGCTCCTCTGAGACCTAGACTATAAATCTAATAAGAGCTACTAAGCCGAGGGGTGGACCCAGGACAGTCACTCCCCTAAGGCTGTCTTACTCAGTGCTCTAAGCTAGATCACCTCAAACTTCTCACATATTTTACATCCCACTACAATGACTGTGGTTTTGGGGGAATGGCTCAGGAGTTGAATTTGTGATGGTTTAGGCCACATACCAACACGACTGAGATCTGGTATAATGTAATCATTTCATTGATGAAACGCATATAATCACCTTCATGATGAGATCTGCCATTAGCAACTGCTGTTGCTATGTCTTGAGTTGGAATCAACTCACAGCTGATCCTGTAGCAGGTTCTGAGAGGCAGTAAATCCCACAGAAGGAGAATGCCTGTCTTCTTCCCTCATGGCACGTGGTGGATTCAAACCACATACTTCTGGGTTGGCAGTGTAACTGCTTGACACTACACTACCAGAGCTCCCTCCATAAAGCAACGAATCAGCTGAAGTATCGGAATGTTTTCTTAGAGGTATTGTCTACACTAAATATGTATATATATCGATGCGTCACAAAGTTCTCTTGTTTTTTGCTCAGTCTAAATCCTGTATCTGGCTTTTCACCTTTAGTTATATGTATTTGAACCACTGGTCAGCTTTACTTGCAAAACATGAACTCATCAAGCTCCAAAGCAAGCAATCTGCAGTCTTGCCTACTAATCTTGGGTTTGCAATGTCCACAGCTGTATGAGGCAAGAGATGGTTCTTTCTCAAGGTCTGACCCACAACCCTGGGACTTGCTAGCTTCCACAAGCATATGAATATTCCCTTGAGCTAAGTCTATTTCTCTTTTTTCCTTGGTGGCATTCAGTTTTCTTTGTTTTATATATAAAAGAAAGCTTAGCTGGTGTTGCTTCTTTAGAGATCTAGCTTAAGGTACAAGCCCAGTCTGAGAATAAAAGAGCTGACTGTGTACCCAGAAGTGCTGGCCTTGCCATGGAAATGCTGAAGCCTTTAGATGTTTCCGTAAAGCTCATGCTGCTGATCAGAATGGAGAAACCCTGTTTAGCAGGTGTCATGAAATGAACTACAATGTTGTTGTTGATTGCCTCTGAGTCAAGCACAACTCATAGCGACCCATGAACAAAAGACCTTTCCTTATAGAAAGAAAGTTATAGGAGAAAGCTTTTCTATAACTATGGATATTTATCAAAGTTCCTAAATTTCTGGAGGCAAGTTGTTTAGGAAGTGGATGCCACTCCTGCTTCCAAACCTGTCTTAAACTGGGAGCTCCACCAAACACTGTCCATCATGGGTAACTGTTATGGCTTTGGCATCCCAACGGCACAAGGTTCAGCATCACAGCAACCCCAGGTTACCTCATTACAGCATATTTATAGAAGAGTGCTGTACCACTAAAAGTGTTCCTCCAAAATATATAATAACAATCAACTTTAAATTCAAAGGCCCTCCCTGATGTCTTGGAGACTGTAAACACGGGGCTTAAATTATGTTATGTTGTTATCATGTGCTGTTGAGTAGCCTGTGACCTATAGCGACCGTGTATATACAGCAACTCTGAACCCTCCCTGTCCTGAGCCAGTCTCACTAATTCCAACACACCAACCCCCATTTCCTGAAATACTGTATCAATCCATCTCATCCAGGATCTTCCTTTCCTGCTCTCTCTGTCCACCCTTCCGAGCATGATGTCCTTCTCCAAGGACAGGTCTCTCCTGGCCATGTGCCCAAAGTAAGTGAGGTGGAGCTTCAAAATCTAAGCCTCCAAGGAGAGACTTGGTTTCACCCTCTCCAAGACAGACCTATTTGTTTTCTTGGCAGTCCATTCTATGTTCAAGATTCTTCTCTAGCACCACTACTCGAAGGATTAGGGTTAGGTATCTGGTTAGGTTAAAATTCTTCCTCTGTCATCCTTAGTCACTGTCCAGCTCTCTGAAGCATAACAAGTAATTGAGAAGACCATGGCCTGGATGTACTCCCAAAATATATGTCAGCTTGGCTGGGCCAGGCTCTTCAGTAGTGTGGCAGTTCTATAATGATGCAAGCATGCCAACAGCCTGAGCAGATGCAGACAGAGGATTACAGTGGGATATAACATCCTTACTCAGATCACAGCTCTGATCTGATGTGAAGGGCGTTTCCTAAGGTGTGGCTCGAATCACCTCTTCACTTAGGACAGATAAAAGGAGCAGAGAGGAAGGATGCCATCATTAGGAAGGAGAGCTGGGAGCAGAGTGTTCCCTGCACTGAGAACTTCTAGGCCCAGTGGGAAATTGATGCCAAGATACATGGAGATCTCCAAGGACCACAGGCCTACAAGTGCTCACTGGAGACAATGACCTGCCTCCAGAACTAAAGGGAAGAGAAAGCCTGCTCCTGAAGCCAGCACCCTGAGTTAGGACTTCTTTCTATACTGTGAGAGAATGCACTTTGTTAAAGCTCTCCATTGTCATGTTTCCTTTGCAACACCCAATAACTAAGTCCAATAGAGGAATGGTTAGCAGGAGAGACTTACAGGTGAAGCCAGCTGGTCAGTATGGGCTCTAGGGAGATCCTACGGGCAACCTTACAAAGTGAAGACTAGCAGGGACAGGCAATTACTGGAAATGCCTCGTGAGCCTAAAACATCATCCTCACTGTCTACTGTATAAATTGGGTTTTCTTTCTCTACTCACATGATGTTTTCAAGAACCTAACAGAATCCTGGTGATTACTTATTTTACTAGCCTCGTCAGTACACAGAAGAAGAATCCACTGAATGAGCAAAGACATTTTCTCAAGAGTCAAACAGAACTAGATCTTGAACACAAGTCCCCCTACCTCTCAGATGCTCATCTTGTTAGGGTTTTACCACTATGCAATGATTTTCTCTAAGATTCTTGGGGTATATAACAGGTTTTCAAGTATCCCCTAATAACTAAAAAATACATGACATGGCAACAAAGTGTCTTTACAGTAATACTCCTGGGACAGACAGTAGCATCTTTCAAAAGCTAGTTGAGGAAGGAAATTTATAGAGTTGAGATTCATTTTTTCCTTTGAGGGAAAACGGAGAGATAAGAGTATATCTCAAGATGACAACAGATAAGGACAAATTTATGAGTGCCTCAAACCAGACTCTATAGGCCATTTTGGACACCACAGGCTAAAAGATGTTATCCCAAATTTATTATGCTTTAAGTATGAACAGAATCTTGGACAAAAGTCAGCTTACATAGAACGTATCTATATTAATACATAATAATAATATATATAATAAGATTTATATACAACCACACTCTCAAACATGTAAGAAATACGCAATACATGTTTGGTTGGTTAAAAGAATAAGGAAATTCTAATTATGCACATTTGCTATCTATACGCTCTATGATAATGGGTTCATTCTGCTATATTTACCCTCCATGATGACTGTAATAATGCTAAAAATGTGAAGTTAGAAGCTCAACTACCATGAGTAGATGCTTGCATCAAAGGTACTAAAGAAGGAAATGCAGAAGAGAATTTCAAATTCTTATGAAATCTCAACTTTCTGGAGCCACTGAAATCTGGATGAGTCCCAAAACTATTCCCCCTGAGATTATTTTAAACTTTAAAACAAAAAATTCCCTGAAGTCTTCTTTTTTTTTTTTTTAAATAGTTAAGCTGAATTAATAAAGATCATGTGTCTTGATATGCTCTTTCAAGATCTATATGAAATCAAACCACCAATAGTAACTCAAAGGTTAGTAGACAGGAAACTAAGGAAGCACTGAATGTGTTCCTTATTGGAAGAAGAGTTTAGAAAAGGAGTATGAAAGTGGCAGCACAACTTGACCAAAGTAACCAATACCACTGAACTGTTCATGAAATAGCTATTGAACTTCTCTGTGTTTGTGTGTATACACACACACACACACACACACACACACACACACACAAGATATATATTTTAATCAGAAATAAAAAAAATATAGGATGGGGAATATTTTGGAGCTGTTTACAAGTCTTTAAAAAGAAATGCTTCTATATATATGGCATTGAATCTGGGGTCTCCCCACAAGTGGTTGCTGGAGGTGACTGGACAGCAAGCAAAGGAAAGCGCTCCCATCCAACTCCATACAGAGTGCAAAACAGCGGGGCTTCAAAGAGTTTCATTCAAGTTCAAGCCCTTGTGGAGAATTTTCTTTTTCTATCCTAGATATGTTAAAGATGAATCTATATTCTAACAGGATCCCTAGGTGATTCTAACAGATCCTGTTAAGATGTAATGTAGACCCTGATTCTATCTGGGGTAGAAAAGGGAATTTCAGCAGGGAGTATATTTAGAATGAACATGTTTGAAGCCCACAACACAGGCAGGCTTTTAAGTTAGCCGTAAGTGACAATCACGTATTAGAGGGTAGTTTATCACTTGAGTGACATGCTATGGATGAAAGGAGCTCTGCTGGAGTAGTCTGCAGCAGGTTGTACTGTTGTCAACCAAAAGGCTACATCCCTCAGGGGGTTTGAACCCACCGGCTGTTTGAAAGGAGAAAGATGGGCAGCCTCTTCCATTCTATTTACAGCCTTGAAAACTCAATGGAGAGTCACTAAAGGTCAGAAATCAACTTGAAGGCTGTGAGTTTTTGTCTGTTTTGTTTATGAAACCTTCTTTTTTATCCAGAAAAAGTAAAGGCTAAAACTCTTAAAAAATATTCCCTAGGTGAGCTTTGGTGGCCTAGTGGCAAGAAGCTGCACTGCAATCCCAGGGGTGAGCGGTTTGAATCCACCAGATGCTCTGCTGGAGAAGAGACAATCTCCTCCTGAACCAGTCAGATCTGATTTGATGGAACACACACATAATAATAATAATAATAATAATATTCCCTAGACACCTACAATGATGGTATTGGTTTTTTTGTCATCAGCAGTTCACCTAGTGAGTGTTGATATTTTGGTTCTGAGTGAAGCTTAAAAAACAAAAATATTCTCCTAGACACTTTACAGAATTATTTATGAATCAAGGGCCTGAGAACAAGGTTTGGTAAGAAGAGAAAATGGAAGTCTGTGGATCTTAGTAGAGCAACTCGGTGCAGGGAGTTAGCAGCAAAAAAGGAAATTTTTAGTTTGCAAATAAGTCTAGAGTCCAAAGGACAGAACAAACACTATCTAAACCCTCTGGACATTACATGGTGTTCAACCCTCACAGTTTAATACAGCAGATATTAGAAAGGGGAATGGGGAAGAGTCTAGTGATATATCACTGTGGGCCCCAGTTTCTTCACTTACCTAGCAAAATGAGGATAATGATAATTACCCTACAGGTTTGCCGGAAGCTCTGAATTAACACCACAAATTAGTTCCTGGCCCTCAATAATATAATTCAAGAAATATTTTAAAAACGAGCCATCTCTAAATCAGGGTTACTGAGTCAAGTGTGGGAAGACTCATATTCCTAAGAAAGCACAGTGAAGAACTTTCCTTGTAAATACAGACCTTTGGTCCAATTCCCTAGTGAGACAGTCTTTGGACTCCCCAAATGTAGCCCTGTTCCAGAAAACAGCCAGAACAATGGGATTATTTTATCTTATGTAAAGTATCATTAGCACTATGTCTTTTATTAGAGGTTCTCAGTAAACATTTGTCACAATAAATGGTCTGGTGCTGATTCTGATGTGTAGGGCAGAGTAAAAAGGTGCCATATAAACAGAGACTCATTTTGTGGTGGGAAAGAGAAAAAAAAATCTCAAAATAGAAAATCTTAAGGGCTATAATGGATCTACTAAAGGCCTTATCACCTTGCATAATGTTACCTGTATTATGCAGGCATTTTAAAATCGGATTTTGCTTTAAAAAAAAAAAGAAAAGGCAGAAGGAATTTTAAACTCCAGGGATTACCTAGAATAATCTCCTGGGTCACAAATGGGGAAACTGTAACTCAAGAGACAAGATGACATAACTGTTTACAGAGCCAAGGAGAAGGAGGGTCAGTCCCCCAAGCCAATCTTAAAGATTAACTGAAGATTGACACATAAACAAGCACTAACGGAAACAAGGAGTGGTGGTCTGGTGGTAAGAAGCTGTGCTGCATTCCCAGAGGCACGTGATTTGAATCCACCGACTGTTTCGTGGGAGTAGGATGGACAAGCTCCTCCCGTGTGATTTACTGCCTCTGAAAACCCACAGGAGGGTCAGCTATGAGCTGGTTCTGACTGGATGGCACACAACAACAAAAGAAATAGAAGGCATGTACGTCACAAAGAAACAAAGCAAAACAATTGCTGAAAATGTATGGTTTGAAATGGGACTGATGTCCAGAAGAAACTTTAACTTCTCTATGGCATAGCATCTGGGAAGAAACTTACGTGAAATAAGGTCAAAACACTTTTTCTCCTCAGGGTTTGTCTTTACTTGGCATGTTAACAGGTTGAGCTTTGCAGGAGGACGGTTAGCCTGTTTTGGTTTAAAAAAAAAATTTGTGGGTGGAAGGAATGGAAAAAGCATACAATATCATTCTTCATTAAACTGCACCAAGATGAGGTTTATAACTAGTTTAAATGATAGCTGTGGAATTTAGATTTCTCTAGGGAGTCATGACAGTCTTAACACCCACATTACAGCATGTCTTCCAGTCCTAGGAGACACCTCTTACCTTTCACCCCTACACAGAACACAGACCCACCCAGAAAGGAGGGACAGCTGATACCCACACTGGGGCCAATGGCAGTGCAGTCTGTGAGATCACACTGGTCCTGACACTCGATCTTAATGTCTACTCCTGACACAGACTATCTGTAGAGTTACCTGGGCACCAATCTCAATTTCTGATCCACTTACAAAAACTGTTTTATGCTGGTGGGAGGGAAGGTGTTCATTCCCTATGAGACAATGACTACCAAAGAGTTTTTTTTTTACTTCAGAGATGTGAATATCACCAAATACAGAAAAAAAGTCAAAGAATATTCTTTATTTGACCAGGTAAGGGCACTTGTCACTGCATACTATAAAATGATGACCACAGAACTGATCACAAAACTTATTAACTGATAATGTTAATCATTATAAATTATTTCAGATTTACGTTAATAATTATGCACTATCTATCTGTCTATATTAAATATCAACTGACAGAAAAGCTGTAAAACAATTTATGGGAGAAAATTTCTAAACATACTATTTATTAAAATTTTACTCCCTGCAATAAATTTTTTTTAATGTTGTCATTCGTTTATGCTTCACCAGATTCTAGTGTTCTCTGGGTACTTAACTTGGGAATTGTGGTCTAGTAAAAAACTCAGGAAGAATTGAGAAGGAAAAAAAAATAGGAAGGTCTTAAAGACTCAGTGTTTACTCTGAAGTCATGGATTATTAAGTGTTTTTCCCTTTTCAATCATGTCAATCCTATTTTCTCCCAATTTGTCAGGCCTTTAAAAGAAAGTCTGCATGCCTCTTTCTGTATGATTGATAATTTTTTAAATCGCATAAGAGCCAGTAGGTATTTCTTGCAGTTTAACATGATCTCTAGCCTTTGATGATGTGGTAATGCTATGATTTGGCAAACAGGATATCTAATTAGAATTATTTCATCCCAAGGACCCTGCCTTCCAGTGCCAGGAAAACAAAATGAACCTTGGCTAACAGGGAATAGCAAATTAGGTTTCCATTAAATTCCAGCCCAGATGTTATCACTACTCCAATGCTGTAAAGAGCTACATAACAATTTTGTCTTCCAAAAGCTGCCGGCTTCCCAGGAAGGTTATTCCTAAGAGTAAGAATACACCCCGTGATCCGTTTCTTAAATACCTGACTTTCAGTGCATGCCAGATACTGCTGGTAGTAGTAATAGTAGTACATTTCCTCAGTCAAATCTGAAAAGCTATCCTTTCTTTCTGAAAAATGCTGGCTAAATAGGTGATCTATGTAAGCAATCAAACGAAAGTAAAACTAAACAAGGCACCTCAATTGTCTTTCCTCGTACAGGCTCATTCGCTTTCATTTGGGGAAGTCTTCAGGTTTCTGATTTTCAGAGCAAACAGCGTAACAAACAGGAGAGGAGGAGGAAAAGTGCTCATAACCAACAGAAGGCAGCTAGATGAACTGACTTATTCTCCTCGCAAGGCAGGCCTGCCTCTGCCTGGCTCTCCCCCAGCAGGCAATGACTGCTTCCAGGGGCTCCCTTTCCAGGCTGCGGAAGCAGAGGAGATTCCCTAGAGAAAGTTTTCTCTCCCAACTCAAAGCTCTTTTTAAATATGCTAAGTTGTGCGACAAGCTGGGTTGTGTGCATACTAGTAAAGCTAGTTATAGCTCTAACACCTGCCAAAAACTGGGGCAACCATCAAAATGTAGGGAAAATTAAACCCCTATCTTTCGAGAGGGAGCTCAAGCAATGGCAGTGACATGAATCAAGGTTAATAATGCTGCTGGCAAAGAATGCACTAGGCTTGTTTTTATTTCTGTCATGGATGGAGGCACCCTTTGTGGCTTATACTGAAGCCCTGGGTCTAGAAAACCAAACCCCTCACCAAACCCCTCGCCATGCACTCAGTTCTGACTCACAGTGATTCTACAGGGTGGAATCACCTTCGCCGCAGAGTTTCCAAAGCTGTGACTGTTTTGTGAGAAGACTGCCACATCTTTCACAGAGTGGCTGGTGGGCTTGAACTGCAGTCCTTTCCGTTAGCAGCTGAGTGCTCACGCACTGTGCCATGAGAGTTTAGAGAAGCACTCTAACGAGGCAAAAGTATCAAATGCCTTGAGAGCTGTGCCATGGAGACCAAGGATGCATACACGTGTTTTATGACATTTTCTGCACTGATGCAGTATGCCCAAGTTAAAAGAACTGGAAAGGAGAATGCTGAGAACGGGCTCCAGACCTACAGGCACTCTGGGGTGGGAAGAGGCCTGACCACCATGCAGCCAAACATGCTCGAGTTTAAAAAGAAGCAGTAGGAGCTCAACAGAGCTGCTCCCCATGGTGCACCGCCTCATAGTAGACACATTCATCTATCTATGGAAAGGACGTTCATGCAGAATTCAAAATGCATGTTCCAGGAGTGAGTTCCCAATCATAAGCTCAGCAAAAACGGTTTTTGAAAAAGACAAATGACCTTTATTTGCCCAGTCAACACAGTTAATCTCCGCAGCCAACAGTCCTCATGGGAGTCCTAGAGACCACACCTGACACATCTTAGCTCGATTTTCTCTTTCTTTTCTGATGAATGGAACCAGTGGGGGGGGGGAACCCCTAAAAAGCCATGAGGTGACCCACCAATGGAACACATTCCACGCTGCACAGGCATCCATCAAACAGGCTTTTACAGTTTTCTTGCTCACAAACTCTGTGAAGGGATGCTTTCCCAGAATCTACCCTGAGCAAAGAAAGACCTTTCCATATGTGTCTAAAAAGCCAGTCTGCACTCCCTGTACTCCCAGCAGGTAGGCAAACACTCACAGACATCTTCGCTATCACCATCTAACATTACTAACGCTGCTAACACAGATGCAGCACAAGGCCTCCTGCTCAGGGAATGACAAGAAAAGCCATCATCAAGTATTCCCAATAGCAACAAAACGAGAACCAGCTTGAGACTTGAGACATTTTCAAAAAAGTCTGCCTGCTTATACAGTTCTCATCAAATCCTATCACACCAGCTAAGGCGATACCATGTTTGATGCCACTGTGGTGTGAGGGGCTATGTTTGTAACTGTGATTAAAATTCTTAGTTTATGAGAGAGAGATTAGTAACAATTTTATTCTGATTTTTTGTTTTATAGACTAGGCTCTACATATCATGGAACAGGGCTGGGACTTTGGTATCAATTTTCCTGCATGGACTCTTATAAACAGGATGAAAGAAGAGGGGCTTCATTACAGTTGGGCCCAGCATGTCAAGTTTCAATAAAACGGCTGAAATCCGTTTTCTTGAATTTCTGATTCTCAGCATCATGACTACTTACATTTTTATCTCCTTAAGGGAATAGACAGGCCAAGACGAAAGTAGAAATCTAGAGTAAGATGCTAACTATTCAAAAAGAAACATATCTAGGAGAACAGTGTGCTGCTTTTCAGTTTTTTAAAGTCCCAGACAACCTGGCTTATCAGTTATTCTGATCAGGCAGGCAGTAAATGCTAAGAAGGCTCTCTCTGGGTAGAAAAACATAAACATGGTATGCAGGTGTACCAAATTAAGGCTGAATCCAAACAAGCTTCACTCAGTGGGGAAATCCTTTATAATGCATACTTAATACCCTAAACACACCTACAACTTAAAAACATATAAACAAACATAAATAAAAATGGGCTTTTCTGAAGTTGGTCCTGACTCATGACAAACCCGTGCATGTCAGAGCAGAGGTGAGCTCCCCAGGGTTTTTGGTGGGTACGTCTGTGAGAAGGAGTTGACCAGACCCTGTCTTGTGAAGAGCTTCTGAATGGAATCAAATGGCTAACTTCTCAGTCAGCAGTCAAAGGCATTAACCATTTATAAACACAAGGACTACAAACACACATAAAAGAACATTACCAACACATGAGTGTACAGAAATTCACTCGCCAAGTCTCCCACCCCAACACCATTCTTACCTCCCTGTAACAAAGACAAATTAGAATACTTACAGTCCCATGGGATATGGTCAGAAAACCATTTTTAACAGAACATTTCCTCTTCTGCCATACTTTCCGGATCCTTATGGATAAATAATAACACCATAAAAAACAAGAATTTAGAAATTTTTGACATGTGAGACAATAAATGTAAAACTTAAGCTGGCAACACCACTTTACGTACCCATCACTTTTCTTGTAGAGGTTGCCATTCCGTTCTGTTCCGTGTTCTTTGTTTCCCTGAGGCTGATGTAAACTATAGGCTGTACTCTGGCGAATTTGTGAATCCTAAAAATATTGTCATAAAATTATTTTTAACTCTGCCCTTATCCCCATAAGGAAACCCATGTCTCAAACAAACAAGAGTAGATACATTTTCTTTCTTCTCATCATACCAAAGCAAGGCCATACAATTTATACTCAGAACTCTTAAATGCAACTTTAAGGCTGGAGGAAAAAATATTGAAAATAAGGTATCTCTAAATTGCTTTAGAGGATAAGCCATTTGATGTTACAAACCTTTAATTAATCATAAACCTCAAGTCTCTGACAATAAGACAACAACAAAAACCCATTCTTGTCAAGTTGGAAACAACTCAGAGCAGTTTTCAGAGGCTGTGAACTGCACGAAACTGCTCATCTTCCTCCTCGGAGCAGCTGCAGATCTGAATGCCTGTCTTTGGGATGGCGGTGCAACTCCTTACCTGCTAGGCCACCAGCACTCTCTTCCAACAATAAGAAACAGCTCCTAATATGACAAAAGATCCCTCAAGAAAGAAGTCAATGTGATAGGATTGAAAGACTAAAGATTTTTAAGAAAGGAGCTTAGAGGGAAAGAATCCTATTTTTATTTTTAACTATAGACAAGTTATTTAAACTCTCTGGCTCAACTGTAAAATTGAGCTCTGGTGGCCTGGTGGTAAGAAGCTGCACCATAGTTCCAAAGGCACATGGTTCAATTCCACCACCTGCTCTCTGACAGAGAACGGGCAGCTCCTCCTGCGTGACTTACTACCTTGGAAAACCTGCTGGAGGGTCAGCTATGACTTAATGGCAAAACAACAACATATTAATAAGGAGAGTAAATGATAACAAGATTTGAGTAAGATCAGATTTATAAAAATCTGCAAAGTGGAGTATACTTGGGGTGGGAGTGGAGGGTGGGGGGGGATTGTATACCAATGAATGAATTTTTCTTTTACTTTTCAAAGGAACTGGGGATGGGGAGGTGGGTGAGAAAAGTGCAACAATGAATGAATGGAAATCCAAAATCTCTGTAAATGTTCATTAAAATTAATAATTAAAAAAATCTGTTAAGTGACAGGTATTGGACAAATACTTATTTTCTAATGCCATTGATGTCAGGTGGACAGAATTGTGGCACAGAACTGTCTAACTGCTTCAGACCACCAACTAAGAGTGTTAAGAAAGACACATCTGCGTGGCCAGCTGAGGATCTGGCTGGGTGAACTCCAACCTATAAGCTTCTTAAGACAATGATCATCCAAAAATTCCCAAGGTGTAAGCTCAGTAGTATCTGGTTTTTAATTGGTGGTTCATAAATGCCATTAAACAGCCTGATCCAAGAGCCAAAGAGGCTCCAGTGCTGGCAGCGAGAAATCTGGCAGCCCTAAGGGAAACCAGGGGGAACAAGATGTGAACAGATACTTTCTCGGTCAATCAGGGCTTAGAGCTGCCTCTGTTTGTTAAGAACCTCCAATCTAGTTGATTTCATAATAGAAGAAATAGACACATATAAAATCAAGAGACTTGTTCAAGATCCAAAACTTGTTAAAGCCAGAGCAGAAAGCAGAACTCAGTCACACTTTTCATTCTATGCCCCTTCTATTACGCCATGTTGCCCCATGCAATCACATCCCGAAAGACTAAAGCCAGTTTCATCCCTTTTATCATGAAGCTGGCCATCACCGGGGCCAAGTAAACACAAACACAAACAACGAAAAAAACAACATCTGGACATCAATGAGATACTTTACTGTTGCATAATACTCCACGGTGTGAATATATTTTAATTTTTTAATCATCCGCCCATTGATAGAAACTTGAGCTGTTTCTCTTTGCTATTGTAAATAACACTGCAGTGAACACGGGTGTGCATATAACAGTTGATATGACAGTTCTAGGGAGCGTTGGTGGCTTGATGGTAAGAAATTATTTTAACGCAAGGTATGTGGCTCAAATTCACCAGCTGCTCCATGGAAGAAAGATGTGCAGTCTCTTCCCATGAGATTTCCTGCCTCTGAAGACCTGCTGGTGGGATGCTATGGGTCGGTTTCAACTCAACTGTACACAACAGGGAGATTGCGATATCAAGTGGGATTCCAATCTGTAAGGGTTTATTTCTATGTTCCCAATTCTATTTTGTCGCTCCCCTGTCCATTCTTAGGGCTGCTTCATATTGTCTTGATCACTCCAACTTTGTCAAAGCTTTTGGATCAGAAAATTTGAGTCTTCCAACTTGGTCTTTTTCAATATTGTTTCAGCTATTATGAGCGCTTTGCATTTCCATATTAATTTAGAACCAGCCTGTCAATTTCTACAACGAGGTTTCTGACAGAGATTACATTGTCTGTACTGTTGAATAGAAACAGGACTAACTTTTCTAATCAACGCACATGAGACACCTGACACTAACTTCTGAAATGCTATAATATCTTAGAAATGTAAAGGAAAACATCCATTTGAGCAATTATTAATGTGCTTTAAGCACTGCATTACTAAGCTGATGAGGCTGAGCAAGCTGACACATATGGGGGAAATGGTCTCAATAGCCAGAGATCTGGACAAGCGAGGCAAACCTCTCATTCGTGGGGTGAGGATGGTCTCAGCTCTGCATTCTCACAAAATAGCACTATGTCAGCACTAGAAATTTAGAGCCAGCTAATTTTAAACATTGCTAGGAATAAATGCAGTCAGTAGAGGGGAAATGGAGAAATACTGCTCACCTATATGAATCTCTGTGAAGGACTAAAAATAAACCTGTCAAGAGACTAAATTGCACAAGTGAGAAATAAGTCTATTGATTTGGAAAGGAAAAAAAATTCTTCATAAAGTGGTGAAATCATGTGACAGCATTGCTAAAAGTGTTCATGCAAAATATATTCATCAGAATGATACACAGGTCATCAGAACAGGAATAGGGGCATTCACCTTTTCAATAAAATCAGACCTTATGCCAGAAGTTAAAGAAGACATAATATATTTATTCTTTAACGTAAATGTGCTTCTCTTGAATCAATTTTTTAAAACTGGAGGATAAACTGAACCTAAGTGATGGAGAATAAAATGTAAACATTTAAATAAGGGGAGATGGAAGGAATATACTGAGTCATTATATAGAAAGGAATTGGCAGATACAGAGGAATTTAAAGAAATAACATATGAGCAAGAGCC